ATTTCACATGGGTTTGAATCAGATTTGGTCAGATGTTCATTTTACACCCAGATGGTGCATCTTACCTACTGACTCGACTCGGGTCAACTTACCCCTAACCCGGGGCAAACTGAGCCATGGGAACACTTTTATTATAAGAAGCCATATTTTTAGAACCCTTTGTCATAGATACATTCTGATCATTTAAAATGATAGGAATAGCCTACTTTCATTAGTATAGGATAGGATAGGATAGGATAGATGCTTTCATTGTACTTCTGCATCATTTTAACTTATCTTGAGGACCACATAAGTAAAAAATGGCCAATCTTACCCCACTCTCCCCTATAAGTATTAGACATTTAATTTAATATTTTACAGCATAAATCTATATTATATACTAATAAAGCAGCAACGCTGCTTTAACAAAAAAGCAAGATTTATTTGACATAAAAAAAAAAAATAATAATAATTTAAGATGCTCTAATTTCTCTTGTGGTACTTTGATGTCATACACAGAACAGTCTGTGCAATGCTGCTTCAATTCAAACACCTATTGTTTTTTGTTAGGAGATGCACAACAGTTCTTCTGTGGCTTATAGGTAATATTTTCGTTTACTCAGTTTTGCAAAATCAGGCAATATTGTGTCTAATATATACCAGAATATAAACGTATTATTGAATTGTAGTAAATAAATATTACATTTGCAACTGGTCAGTGTTCAAAAAATGCTGGGAAATCACTTCACGTAACCCTATAGCCTACAAGAGTGATTACTGATAGGCTGTCTAAAGAAAAAAACCCGGCACGTTTAAGAGAAGAAAAAATCACCCACTGACTTTCAAAGCTGCTACATAGTAACTACTTTCTACTTCGAGGACCTTGATAGAATTGTAGTGGAGTGAAAAGTACAATATTGGTCTTTCAAATGTAGTGACGTTAAAGTAATAAGTTTCCAGAAAAAAATAATACTCAAGTTAAGTACAGATACTCAAAAAGTGTACTAAGTACAATACTCAATAAAATGTACTTCGTTACTGTCCACCTCTGGTTGACGCGCCTTCCCTTTTTGTGTTGACCAGAAAAACAAACGGAAAATAAATTCCGCTGAAGCATAGCGCTCTTTTAGCGGCAAAGCACCTTCCCTCAGAGTTAGGTTTCATTTCACTGCAGACCACCACTGCAACACTTCTCCAGACTGAAAGCGAGGTAGATCATTCGTTTATTTACTAAGATGTCGAAATGTTTCATTCTATATTTGTCTTAAGAAATCTTACCAAAAACCCTGCAAAAGTTAACTAAATAATTATATAATAAGGATTTTTTTTCTTTAAATGATCGAGTGCTAAATGCGAAATTATTTTTATGAGACCTTGTCACGCTCGGTTGTTTAATTATCGAAATATTTACTTTCACAATAACCACACAATCTGAAATGTGATCGCATTATAGGCTTCTTGTAGCTAATATGAGAGTAGCATACATTTTCATTAAGTTTTGTATTTTATCTCTTAAATTGTCCAAACAGTTAGTTTCCACTTCATTAATCTCATCATGGAAAAAAAATGAACTGTAAAGTTAACCTTCACGTTCAAAACTGTGTAACTTTTAAGGGAGTTTATAACAAGCTCGGAATTCAGTTTTCATTTCAACAGGATTTAGAATGTGTGGAAGAAATGAGTAAAAAAAGAGATGTCTAACTAAGTTGGCAACTCTAAACCTGAGGTTCTATAACGAATAAAGTGTGACTTTAAGCGTACTTTAAAGTTCACAGTCATTCATCTCCTTTTCTTTCTCACTCTCCCTTCACCCCCCACCCCACATCCCACACCCTTGCTGCTTCTTGCTTCCTCCCTCGCCTCGCAGTCATGGCAGGACAAACTACTACTACTATTGTGACAACCCAGCATGTCTCCTCTGGTACCTGGACTACAGGCATCTGTGACTGCTGTTCTGATATGAGCACTTGTAAGTCACCTACTGACCCATGAACTCTCGGTTCCCTTTTCTTTATTCCAACTTGTTTGAATGTGAAATCCTACCTGATCCCAAACCTGTTTTGATGTTATGAAATCAGAAAATGAAAAAAAAAATTATAATAATAAAAAAAGTATTGATGTAGGCCGAATTTATGAGATCATCTAGTTGACTTTAGTGCAGCTTTTATTTCTTAACCACAGTTTTTTATGGCTTTTCAATGATAAGATGCAGGCAAATGTAGAACAAGTCACCTACTGACCCATGAACTCTCGGTTCCCTTTTCTTTATTCCAACTTGTTTGAATGTGAAATCCTACCTGATCCCAAACCTGTTTTGATGTTATGAAATCAGAAAATGAAAAAAAAAATTATAATAATAAAAAAAGTATTGATGTAGGCCGAATTTATGAGATCATCTAGTTGACTTTAGTGCAGCTTTTATTTCTTAACCACAGTTTTTTATGGCTTTTCAATGATAAGATGCAGGCAAATGTAGAACAATGACACACACACACACTTTAGAAAGTGCTAAAATGCAGCACCAGCAAGATCTGTTCAACCTCAACTTTGGACGAAGGTGTAGAAGAAATCCTCTTTAAATTTACTGCAGGCCCAGAACTAAAACAACCCTCATGTGTGTTTCAGGTTGTTGTGCCCTTTGTTGTTTCCCCTGTATGCAGTGTCAGACTGTATCTCAGTTTGGCTGGTGTTTCTGCATGCCATTGCTGGACTGCTGCATGGTGGTATCTTGCTGTCTGCGTCAGAAGATGAGAGAGCAATATAACATTCATGTGAGTTCATACACACACGCGCACACGCACACACACATGCAATTGAGAGAAGGGTGATAAAATTATAATAATAAAAAAAGTATTGATGTAGGCCGAATTTATGAGATCATCTAGTTGACTTTAGTGCAGCTTTTATTTCTTAACCACAGTTTTTTTATGGCTTTTCAATGATAAGATGCAGGCAAATGTAGAACAATAACACACACACACACTTTAGAAAGTGCTAAAATGCAGCACCAGCAAGATCTGTTCAACCTCAACTTTGGATGAAGGTGTAGAAGAAATCCTCTTTAAATTTACTGCAGGCCCAGAACTAAAACAACCCTCATGTGTGTTTCAGGTTGTTGTGCCCTTTGTTGTTTCCCCTGTATGCAGTGTCAGACTGTATCTCAGTTTGGCTGGTGTTTCTGCATGCCATTGCTGGACTGCTGCATGGTGGTATCTTGCTGTCTGCGTCAGAAGATGAGAGAGCAATATAACATTCATGTGAGTTCATACACACACGCGCACACGCACACACACATGCAATTGAGAGAAGGGTGATTTATAGAAGAAAGACTAATAGACTGGTGCTAGTGTGCACACAGAGGAGGTGAAACGATATATATACACCGCTTGTAGCTTCCTGTTTCTTTGCTGTTTCTGATGAATTTTGGGTGTTTCTGACGCTCTGTATTCACATGTTCCTGACACACACAAGCAAAATCTGTAAAACCTTATGTAAAAGTAGCCATGTATTCTGAAAGTAAATGTTTCTGCAATCACCATAGAAACCACACATATTTCATTATATTACAATGATTTTTTGGGAGGGTTCTTAAAAGCATGACTTTAGTAAAGGGCTGTGTTTGTTCTCCAAACAGTATTGTCATTATAATTTTGCATTTATGGCTCAGGTGTTTGGCTGCATGTGTACAATCTTAAAGGGATAGTTCAGCAGTAAATGAAAATCTTGTCATCATTTACTCACCCTCATGTTGTTCCAAACGATGATTTGTCATCTGTGAAAGTCACCTTTATTTATTTAGCGCTTTTAACAATACAGATTGTGTCAAAGCAACTGTACAGCATTATTTACGAAAATATTGTGTCAATAATGCAAAATGATAATAGTAAACACTCAAATTTTCAGTTAAAGGCAGTTCATCTTTGAATTCGGTGATGTCATCATCCAGCTCAGTTCAGTTTAAATAGTGTCTGTGCAATCAAGTCGACGATATCGCTGGAAATTAAGTGTCCCCAACTAAGCAAGCCAGAGGCAACGGCGGCAAGGAACCGAAAATCGATCGGTGACAGAATGGAGAAAAAACCTTGGGAGAAACCAGGCTCAGTCGGGGGGCCAGTTCTCCTCTGACCAGACAATAGTGTCTGTGCAATCAAGTCGACGATATCGCTGGAAATTAAGTGTCCCCAACTAAGCAAGCCAGAGGCAACAGCGGCAAGGAACCGAAACTCCATCGGTGACAGAATGGAGAAAAAAACCTCGGGGGGCCAGTTCTCCTCTGACCAGACGAAACCAGCAGTTCAATTCCAGGCTGCAGCAATGTCACATTGTGCAGAGGACTCAACTGGTTCCTGTGGTCTGGTTCCTGAAACACAAATTGAAAAATAATTAGACTGTTTATGTCCATTTAATGTGGGTCCAGAGCATCATTGGTTCAAAACGTTCACTGTAAATTGCCAAAAGGACACAATTTTAAAATGTTTTTTTTGTGTTATGCATAAGAAAACATGTCATACAGGTTTGGAACAACATGAGGGTGAGTAAATGGTGATTTTGGTGAACTGTCCCATTGAGACCAATGTTATGCCAATCTCTAAAGTGTCCTTGAATACTTCTGCTAACTAAAATGAACATGTATACAAGGAACAAACAATTACTTATTTATATCTGTTTCTTTAATAAGTACTTTAACTGCTACAATTATAACTTCACTATGATAACCACAGGCAAGATTTCATTTCCCCATTTCCACATGATACTTACAATTTTTTGAAGAACTGAAGAACAGATGTTCATGAATTTGCTTCCCAGTGAAAGACAAAGAGCCGTGGCAGTTGTTTCAAAACCTGTAAAATCGTACAATTTAAAGGTTTAAAAACTGCTTGCGACTGTGAAAAAAATATTTGAGCCACTGGTGCGAGCGACACGATAGAAGAACAAAGAACAGATTTGTGTGCTCATGGAGACCCGTCTTGACAGGCTACTTTGAAAGAATGAACCCAGAAGGACCCGAGAACACAGGACGCATCTTTGTGAGAATTGAGATGCGCTGTGAGTACAGTAGTGGCCAGTAGACAATAAATACAACATAACATCACAAACAAATGTTAAAATCTATTAAAACATTTATTTCATAATATTGTTGACAGACATTATTCCCATATTATGCTTTGTCAATGTTACGATTCTTTATAACATAAAAATACTGCAGTCTCTCCAGGTCTTCTAAACCTAAACGTTCAAACTTCAAGCTTTTATAATGGCTTCAAACTTTCAGGCTAGGCTTTATCAAGCCAACCTCAAAGTTTGTTAACAAGTTATCTTTAAAGTAATTGTTCTTGGTGTGAAGGGACCTTTAATCAACTCTATCTTTAACTCACACGCCTCGAAATTATGCAATATCAAGGAGAACTTACAGTGTAAGTTAAATTATTAGATATTACAAAAAATTTAAAAGTAAAACATAGTGTTGCGTATTTTATTGGTGCAGAGGTGAGTACAGGGCTGGATTGGTAATTGGGCATACCGGGCATTTTCCCGGTGGGCCGACGCACTTAAGGGGCCGACAGAAGTTTTTTTTTTTTGCCGAAGACCATCACACAGGGACAGCGAGCAGCCAGTGGCCCATTGGTTTGTCTCCTGTATTGACAGTGTAAACATCCAATCACAATGCGCTATAGACGGAGCGATTAATTATTTTACTCCGCCTATATAAGGATCGCTTCACCCCAACTTCTTCCTCGTCAGCTTTTCCCACGTTTTCACAGCAGCTTTATCAAGAACAGGCTTGCTCTGCGGTGAGTGATGCGGGCCAAAGAGCCAGGCAGGAGGAGAAGAAGAGAGTCGTTGAATTGGTAAAGTGCTTGATAGGAACTCGCAACGGAGGCAGACATCTAACCTATCCTAATGTATGTGCGTGGCTGTGTGCCATGAGTGTAGAATACATAAACACTTTTTAATAAAACGTAAATTCGTCCCAGTCAAGTCAAGTCAAGTCAAGTGTGTTCATAGAGGTTTCCATGGGCCAATGCGAATAAAGCTAGATTTAAATGAAAAAGACACGATATCGACGTCGGACCTGACGTTTTATTCTTATCCAAAACAAGATGTGATATGAGTGTGATACATAGGCTACATACATACACTACCAGTCAAAATTTTTTGAACAGTAAGAAAGATCCAATAGAAAGATCCAAAGATCAGCATTTATCTGAAAATAAAAAGCTTTTGTAACATTATACATATACCATTAAAAAGCTTGGAGTCAGTATAATTATTATTTTATTTTATTTTTTTGGGAAATGATAGAAATTAATACTTTTATATAGCAAGGATGCTTTAAATTGATCAAAAGTGACGATAAAGACATTTATAATGTTACAAAAA